TTAGGCAAATCAAACCCTCTTTTGTCTGACTTTTGACTTCCTCCTTTACCTTCCAAAACTGTTATATTTTCTTCTTTCCACTTAATAATTTAGCTTTTATGTATCAGCACATAATAATCTATGAAATTTTTTAAATTAATTAATTTCATTGGTAGTTTTAAATTATACAATATAGTGACATTCATTTGGAAATTTGCACCTTTACATAATACATCTTAGTTCTTATTTTTCCCCATTCCCCTGACGTCCCTTCAACCCCTCCACCCCTCCCTATCTATAAAGACTTTGTTTCCATTTTTCATTTTCTCATGTTAATTTCATTCCCATCTTTCTTTTCCTCTACCCCTCCTATTTCCCCTTCTACTTTGCAGCTTTTCTTCCTATTTCAAATTATCTATTATACTTCTGAGTCCATATTTACACTTTCAGTTTCTCACACTAGAGAAACTATTTGGTATTTGCAAGTGTCCTGTTTATTTCACTTAAGAGTATCTCCCCAATGTACATCCATTTAGCTATAAATGTCTCTAGTTTCTCACTCTTTATGGCTGAGCAGTACTCCATTTTATTAAAAAAATACACTTTTTTATCTAGTCTCCAGTTGATGGGCAATTGGGCTGCTTCCAAGTTTTAGCTATCACAAATTGTGCTGTTATGAACATGAGTAAGCATATATCACTGTGGTATGATTCTTTTAATTCTTTGGGGAAGATACCCAGCAGGGAGATAGCAGGGTCAAATGGGACCTCCAATCCTAGTTCTCTGAGGTGTCCCCGCACTGATTTCCACAGTGGTTGCACCAGTCTACACTCCCAACAGCAGTGGAGCAGGGTTCCTCTTTCCCCACATCCCACCAGCATTTGTCGTTGGTTGATTTCATGTTAGCCATTCTTTCTGGGGTAAGGTAGAATCTCAGTGCTGTTTTCATTTGCATCTCTCGAATGACCAGTGATGTTGAACATTTTTTCATATGTTTATTTGCTATTTCTACTTCTTTTAGAAATGTCTGTTCATTTCAGATGCCCATTTTTGGATTGGGTCTTTGAATTTGCGAGGTCTGATTTTTAAAAATTCTTTATATATTCTAAATAGTAAACCTTTGTTTGCAGAAGAGCTGATGAAGTTTTCCCCACATTGTGGGTTGTCTCTTCACACTGTTGGTTGTTTCTCTTGCTGTGCAGAAGGTCTTTAATAAGAACAGATCCCACTTGTTGATTATTTGTACTAGTTCACAGGCAACTGAGATTTTGTTCATAAAATCTTTTCCTGCACCAATGTCTTCAAGAGTTCTACCTAACCTCTTTTCCAGCTGGTTTAGTGTTTCTGTTTTAATATTTAGATCTTTAATTCATTTTGATTTTAGTTTAGTGCATGGTGAGAGATATAGGTCTAGTTGTTTTTTTTTTTTTTTTTTTTTTTTTTTTTTGGTACTGGGATCGAACTTTGGCCCTTGTACTTGTGAGTCAGGCACTGGAACCACTGAGCTAAATCCCCAGGCTGACATAGGTCTAATTTTAATCTTTGGCAGGTTGAAACACAATTTTTCCAGCACCATTTATTAAAGGGGCCATCTTTCGTTCAGTCAGGGTATTTGGTTCCTTTGTCAAAGATGAGGTGGCTGAGTGTGTCTGGAGTTGTTTCTGCATCTTCTAATCTGTTCCACTGGTCCTCGGGTCTGTTTCTTTGCCAGTACCATGTTGTTTTTATCACAGTGACTTTGTAATATAGTTTCAAATTGGGGATTGTGATAGTCCCTACCTTGTCTTTATTGCCTAGAATTGCTTTTACTATTCTAGATCTCTTCTTGTTCCAAATGAATTTTTGGATTGTTTTCTCAAGTACACTGAAGTATGCTGCTGGGATTTCAATTGGGATTGCATTGAATCTATATAGCAGTTTTGGAAGTATGGCCATTTTCACTATGTTGATTCTTCTTACCCAGGAGCAAGTGATGTCTTTCCATTTTATGATATCCTCTTCAGTTTATTTTTTCAGAGTTTTGTAGTTTTCAGAGTAGAGGGCTTTGATTTCTTTCATAGGTGGATTCCTAGGTATTTTAATATTTTGGATGCTATTGTGAAAGGGATTGTTTGTTCCAGTTCTCTTTCAGTGAGTCTGTATTTCATATACAGGAAAGTTACTGATTTTTGTTTGTTGACCTTGTATCCATCTACTTCGCTGAATTTGGTTATTAAGTCTAGAAGACTTTTTGGTGGAGTTCTTGGGGTCTTCTAAAAGAGTATCATGTCATCTGCAAATAATGACAACTTGACTCTTCATTTCCTATTTTTATTCCTTTTATTTCTTTCACTTGTCTAATTGCTGTGGCTAATGTTTCCAAAACTATATTGAACAGAAGTAGTGATAGTGGACGTCCTTGTCTTGTTCCAGATTTTAGTGTGAAAGTTTTCAGTTTTTGACCATTTTGTATGATATTGGATGTTGGTTTTTCATAGATGCCTTTTTCAGATTGAGGTAGAGACTGTTTATTCAAATTTTTGGATGTTTTTTGTTGTAAATTTGTGTTGGATTTTGTGGGATGCTTTTTCTGCATCTATTGAGATGATCGTATGGTTTTTGTTCTTGGCTCTGTTAATATGGTGTATTACATTTATTGATTTACATATGTTGAACCTTCCCTGCAACCCTTGGATGAATCCCACTTTGTCAGGGTATATGAGATTCTTAATGATCTCCTGCATTCCATTTGAGAGTATCTTATTAAAGATTTTTTGCGTCTATGTTCATTAGTGAGATTGGCTTAGAGTTCCCTTTTTCACTTGGGTCTTTCTCTGCTTTAGGGATCAAGATGATGCTTGCTTCCAGGAATGAATTTGGGAACATTGTTTCCCTTTCAATTTCATTGAAGAGTTTAAACACAAGTGGCAGTAGTTCCTCTCTGAATGTCTTGTAGAATTCATCAGTGAAGCCATCAGGACCCGGACTTTTCTTAGTTGGTAAGTTTTTTATTACATTTTTAATTTTATTGATTGATATTAGGTTGTTTAAAATTTTTAGGTCATTTTCATTCAGCTTGGTTATTTCATATGTATCTAGGAATCTGTCCATTTCGTCTGTATTTTCCATCTTATTGGCATATAGGTTATTGAAGTAGGTATTGATGATCCTCTGGATTACTACTGAAGTTGCCAACTTCTGTTTGCTATGCTATTGGTTTTATGAGGCTCTAATCAAAACAGTGCAAGCAAGATCAAAAGCAAGAAGTGTCCTTGGGGAAAATGTTGTGCACTCCATTCCCATTCTACACTTATTAGGAAATGCCACTAGTATCAGCATACATTGTCATGCTGCAGGGACAGATGATTTGTGCTATGGACAGTCTGTACACAGCCTCAGCACCTGGAGCGGGCCCACTGAAATGTTTAATGGACCTGCTGCAAGATGAAGTTACTTTGGCAAGGGTTTGTAAGACACTTGGTAACAGTTTCTCATTTCTTGAAAATATGCAGTTACTGTGGTTTTATCAGGATCTCACAGCAGGTCCACACTACAAACGGTTCTGGGTTTACTGAGTCCCAGGAATTTATTTTGCCATCTCAGCCTTCTGTCCTCCTACTGTCCTACCATGGAGGTCCTTAACCCTCTCAAAGATAGAGGGTTTATTAAGGCCTTTCCTTAAAGGCAGAGACAATCAACAAACACACCTGAAGCTGGCAAAGGTGGAAGTGCCCAGGATACTGATTGATCATCAGCCACAAAAGGTTCTTTAAGTGGTATCACTTGTGTTCTTACACCAACACTGAGGAGACATACCTTAGGGGCTCAGGGTTTACATGGGTCAGATGGAAAAAGAGAGATCTCAGAATAGCTCTCTGTGCCTCAGAGCAGTCAAAAAGGCCAACCAGGGTGACCCCCCCCCACGCACTGCTTAGTACTTCTATGACTGTCAGTTTGCCATCCAGGGTGCGTGATCGGGGAGCCCACTGAACACACAAGGCCTTTCATTTATAAGAGGGTGCAAAAAGAGATGTACAGTGATCTTTCTGGTCAGTGGTTGTTTTAGCTAGTTTTACCTTTGTTGCTATTGATATTGATGCAGTCAAGCAGATGTTTCAGTCTTATCTTCTCCCATGTACTAAAATTAAAACTGCCTGTGTTGCCTTCTGCCACCTTCTTCCAAGTGCTTCTCTTTCTCCTTCAAGGTCCTTCTGGATGAGACCATCCAGGCACCAAGATACCCTGGGTAAGAGTTACCCAGCTTAGCAGAAATTGGCTTTGCTCACCTGGGCTCAAAGCCTCTGCCAGGTTTGCCCGTGACATGGCTGTGTTGCCTGGCAACAGGGTTTAGATGACAATAATCTGCTGAAAGGATAGAGAGATCCACCTCCGCTCCACCCCCTACTCACTTAAGGTGCTTCTCTCTTTCCTCTGGGGGATGAAGATTGCAGTCCTCTATTGTTAAGTCCATGTGGGGCCTAGGACAGTTGAGAGGCTCGCTCTTCCCAGAGACTGGGTCACAGTCTTCTGTTTTGTTCATCTTAACAGCATTTAATACAGTTAGAAATTGTCTTGTTTTTCTTTTATTGTTTTCTCAAGAGATAGAATTTTGTCTGTTTTATACAAGTGCAGCTTTAGCACCTGGAAACTATCTAGACTACTTTCTTCCTTCCTTAAGGGTAGGGAGAATTTGGGTTGTCAGTGATCCAAAAAGAGGGCTCCTATTAGAAGAGGAGGGGAAGGTGAAGGCTGGAGAGAGGATGCCAGGTGTTGGATTGGCCCTAGCCAATCCTATGATTCAATCCAAACCTATGACCACTGGGGACAAAGTTATGACAAAGGCAGCTGACATTTCCGACTATTTATTTTGTATTGGCTGCTCACAGAACTTGCTTTTCCAACATTCTCAGTTACTTGTCCCCTAGTGCCTCTCCAAACTGCCTTCCACTGGCATAGATTAGGCAAAGACTCCAGGATCATCCACATTTTTCCACTTTTCACCTGATCCAGCTCCCACAAGGCATTACATGCTTGTGATTAGCATGCCGGTCCTCAAAGTCCCCTGGACTGGAGTTTCCCAGACAGAACTGAAAGTGTTTAGGGCAGCGTTCTGTACTATGGCCAACTTTGGTATGATAGGTAAGATTTTTTTTTATAATCTCACCTAAGCCCTGCCTAGTATCACACATAAAGCCCCCCTTCAGCAGAGCCTCATAGGCCGGCATCTTGCTCACATTTGGGAGAGAAGGGAGAACCTTCTTTCCTTCAACCTATATAGACTCTGATCAAAGTTTTTTCCTCTCTGATGGTCTTGACTATCACCAGTCCTAATTGCTTCTTGGCTGATCCCAGTTCTAATGCTTCAGAGTGCCCCAAAGACATTGCTGTAGAAAAAAAATGTTTCAGTCTTCTTACTTTATGGACTTTTGAGTTAGGACTGCCGAGTCTGCCCCCTTATGCTACATAAAGCATGCAACCTGGGCTGCAAGACTGTACCTGGCATACTCTAAGCAGAAATTGGCCATTTCAAAATGGACTCATGCAGGATTACTCTTCAGACACATTAATCTTTAACTTCTTACTTTCAGGCAAAATCATATCACCTTATGTTACTAGTTTCTTTCCTCAAATTCTTCCACTCTTCTTTCTCTTCTTGTTTTCTTTCTTTCACATTCCACAAACCAAATCTTTACATTAAGGGGAGAATGTGCACAGAGTAAGTTGGTCTGGAAAAGCCTACTGAGATACACATATTTGCTAACTACCTTTTTTGTTGTTGCTATAGCAACAGACCATGAAACAAGACAGATAAATCCTCAGAGCATTGCTTTGTTTCTTTTCTTTTTTTTTTTTTTAATGGTACTGGGAAATTGAATTCAGAGAGTGCTGAACTACCTCCTCAGCCCTTATTAAATTTTATTTTGAGGCAGAGTCTCACTACATTGCCTAGGCTGTCCTGAAACTTGCTATCCTCCTACTCAGCCTTCTGAGTGTCTGAGACTGCAGATGTGTGCCACTGTATCCAGCTGCTTTTTCACTTCTGGCAGATGGTTTTCAGCCTAACACCTATGCTCCCCTCAGGGAGGCGGGGAAAGCAGAGTGAGTTTGTGTTACTGACGGTTGAACAATGCCTGGTGTTTTAGTTTGGGCTGCTCTAACAAAAATAGAATAGACTGAGTAGTTTATAGAAAATGAGAAATTATCTCTTACAGCCCTTAGACTGGCAAGTCTAAAATCAATGCACTGGCAGATCAGAGTCTGGTGAGGGCCCACTTCCTGGGGCACAAACTGCTGCAGTCTCATCATATGTGGTGTAAGAGGTGAGAGAACTCTCCCGGGCCTCTCACAGGGTCTTTCCCCAGAGGTCCCGCCTCCAGATACCATCATGCCAGGAGCTGAATTTCAGCATATGAATTCTGAGGATGCACACTCAGGCTAAGTCATCTGAAAGATGTCTTTAAAGGAGGCATTGTTTCTCTGGTCAAATACTTGTCAAATCAGCAGGGTGATTCCAAGAGGCAGTTAAATTTAGCATTAATTATCCATTGGGTCAAATAACATATAAAACATAAATTAATATGTAATTTTATAGTTTTGAGCACTTCAAATCATAATCCTTCTTGTTTTGTTATCTTTCTATTTATTTTTGCTTGTTTTTTGTTTGGATCTTACTTCTTTTGAGAAGACCACCCCATGTCCAAACTGGATTTGAGCATTTGTTTGTGCCAATAAGATACGCTTTGCTGCTTTTTCTTATCTGTAACACCAGTGAGCTCTTGACATTTGTAGATTTAGAGCTGTGATTATTTTCCTCACTCTTGAATCCCCTGTGCACAGAGTTAGTATACAATATACTTGGGCATAGTGAATATTTGTTTTATGACTGAATTAATGTTATTTATCCAGACATCCATTTTAGTCAAACCAATGAACTATTCCTTTTGACCTCTTTTATAAATTAAGATGCTAAGATTTTTTTTGCTTAGATTTTCTCATAATTTTTATTTTGAACAGTTGCAAATTTACAATACAGTTCCAAAAGCTGTATAAAAACATTTTCTCAGGCCGGGGATTCAGCTCAGTGGTTCCTCCGCCTGCTTCCTAAGCATAAGGTCCTGAGTTCAAACCCTGGTACCAAAAAACAAAAACAAAAATAAAAACCACCACCACCAACAACAAAAAGTTTTCTTCATTTGAGAGTAAGTTGATGGAATACTGCTGTATCACCTCCCAAAAAGCCTAGTACATATTTATGACAAATGAAGACATCATTTTCCATGACTACAACATAGCTATCAAAACCCAGAAAATTATATCAATACATTATTACTATCTAATCATCAAATCTAGTTCAAATTGCAAATGTTACAATAATGTCCTAATAAATTCAGTTTAGAATCCTATCTTTCACTTAAATTTCATCCTTTTCAGTCTCCTTTCATTTAGAAAGCCCCTTAATCTTTTCTTGACCTTGTGAACTTGGTACCTTTAAAGATTCTATGGTAGTGACTTTGTAAAATCTCCTTCAGTATGGCTTTACTCCCGTTACCTCAAGATGAGGTTCATTGTATACATTTTTGGCAGGAATGTCATAGAATTGATGTTCTGATATTCTTATTCCATCCTTTCAGTTTTGCACATAATTTTGATTTGTTTCATTACTAAAGGTGTTAATTTTGAATTACAGTATTATCTTCCAAGACTATACCACTGCAAAGTTACTGTTTTTCTCTTTGTAATTCGTATTTTGTATAAATGTTCTTTGAAATTATGTAAAATTTAAATCTAACTCATTTTTATGTCAGTATGAACTCATGTGTTCTTTTTTATTTAATGGATTATAATCCATTGCTATTATTTTATATAAAATATAATTAAATTTAAAAGACTAATTTTTATTGCAGAAAACTAGGATGGGGTGATTAAGATTTTCTACAGTAGAGAATAAAATTATGTGCAGATATGCAATATAATATAAATTCAAAGAGAAAAAATGATTAATTTCCATTTGTTAGCAAGTAGTTTGTTCATATAATTTTTTTAAAAATGCTGGTAATAGATTTCAAATTGCTTTGGTATCTATATTTTGGGGCATTTAAAAGAGCAATTTAACAGGTTTATTTATTTATTTTTTTTTACCTTTTTTGTTTTTTGTTTTTTGTTTTTTTTTTTGGTACCAGGGATTGGACTTGGGCCCTTGTGGCATGCAAGGCAGGTGGCAGAACCACTGAGCTAAATCTCCGGCCCTCAACAGGTTTATTCTTAAAGTCTAAATTTACAATGTACTAGAAATTGCATTCCTTACAATGAAAAAACCTCATGCTGAAAAGTGTTAGATGATATATAAAACATGTATGTGGATGTGTATAATTTTGCAACATTGTTTTAGAAGTGTGTGCTGAAAAGTCTGAAAGAAAGACAGAAACTGGTGCGGCACTAGAGATTGGGGAGGCAGGAATTCACGTGCAGTCTAGGGTGCTAATACCTGGTAATTTAGCTCCAACAGCCTTCAGACATAGTACATTTCCATTCAAGACACAGACACCCAGGAGAGGGAATTTGGTTGACCAAGCATAAATTATTTTCCCGTTTTTATGGTCATAAAGGGAAAATTCTGTGATTTTCAATTCACAAAAAACATCTAGAGCAGAGAAGTGTGGGTGTCCCAAGGGAAGTGTGGCTGGGGAACCAAAACAATATACTGATACTATGCTAGATTTTTTTTAGATTCCCCTTTTCCCTTATTTCTTTAATTTCTAGGATCCAGCAATTTCATGACTTTGATAAGAGTGCTTCTCTCTTAATAGTTATAACATATGCCTTCCTCTTTGCCAAGGTAAAAAGGGCTGAAGATATTTGATACAGTACTTTTGATATTGATGCAGTACTTTTGATATGGCACTTTTGAACCACAAAAGAAAATATGGAGGAAAAGAAAGCCCAGAAAAATCTGTGGGTTTGTCCTTTAGGAATGCTGAATAAAATAGATTCGGCTTCAACAATTGTAGAACATGGAAGCACATTCACAAAACCATTGTATATTTACTCTTGGTTAAATCAAACTAATAAACCACACTATTCCAGAGAAGTTTATTGTTATTTTTTTGCTGTTATTATTATTGATGTCATTATTATTGTGTTGTACTGAGGATTGAATCCAGGGCCTTTGTATTGAGGTGCATGCCTAGCCCTTTTTTGGTTTTTTATTTTGAGAAAGGGTCTTACTAAATTGCTAGGTTGCCCAGGCTATGCTTGAACTTGCCATCCTCCTGTCTTGTCCTCCACATGTACTGGAATCAGGTGTGTGCCACCATGTCTGGCTTGTTATTATTTTTAACCAATGAAATGTGGTGTGGGAATATTGTTTTCTTGGACCTAAATTGTTTCGGGGAAAAGATGAAAAAATATTGGAAGGAGTCTTTTCAAGTATCTATTATCTCAACTGTGCTTTTGACCAGCATATCTGGGAAGGCAATTGTGGATGGAATCTTCTGGCAAGGTTCTCAAGAAGAAGCATTACATACCTAGTAGAAAATACTAAGTATAGTTAAAGGTCCAAATGTTTTTTCATACTTGCTGAATCTGATGGCTGGAATGTATTTTCTAAATCAGTAGTTTTTGATGAGGTAATTTTTCTCCATAGAGGACATTTGGCCATGCTGGAAACATTTTGGTTCCCACAACTGTTGGGAGGGGAGCACTACTAGAAACTAGTGGGTAGAGGTCAGCAATACTTTTACACATGCTATAATGCACAGGCCAGTTCCTACAACAAAAAATTATCTAGCCCCAAATATGAGTAGCATTAAAGTTGATAAGTCCTATTCTAAATTCAAAAACATACCTGAGGATGATCTTAATTTTAGATGACAGGAGGAGGTAAGATAAAGAGGAAACACTTATTAATTGTACATGTACATATATCAATGATTTGGGGAGTTACAGTCTATTGCATGAAAAACTAACTCTGGGATACAGTTTAGCCTGCAGGATGTTTTTAAAATGGAGTACTTGGGATCAGTATTCATGAAAGGAAGAGGACAGAAACAGAAGTGAGTCAAAGAAAAGTCAGGCTGTAAAATAGGCCAAAAATATCTTTGGCTGACCCATCGGGGAGATCTATAACTCCAATGGTGCTT